AACTTTTATCGACTCTCTTTTTTTCTGTTGCGCCACACGTCTATCGATCGATATATATCGTTATTGAATTATCGCCCAGCCCTAATCAATACTAGTTTGCAGCATCATTGCCTTGATGCATGGAGAAAGATCTGCATCCTGAGGTGTTTACAGTGTATGAAATCTGTTGCTTTAATCATGAATTTCAGCTCATGTGAATAGCTTGGTCTTAGTGTCTCAAATATTCCTACTGACATAACTTTGGTTAAGGTCAGACGATTTGATTTGCTGGTCAAGGAAAGCATGGGCATTAAAGCATGTACTGACACTGATAACAGGATGGCTTGTGCCAAGTCATGCTGGGAAAAAGAGATTGGCACTTCCTTAAAGCAGCAAGACGCTTAAGTGAACCAACCTCAGCTGATGATACAGTATATATTGTAACCAATGGCGTAAATATCGGTAAGCAGAGACAGCAGTTCCTTAGGGGCCCACGACCTCTTAGGGGCCCCATCACTGACACCTGGTGGATTCCTACGCAATTGAAGACTAGGGCGTCTATTTGCAGAAGTAATGGTTCAAAAATTTCCTCTTAAACCCACCTGATACTGAAATAACTGACCGCATAGGACCATATTTATACCGCAACACATGGCAGATTTCAACATGATGGTGAGCCGTTTACACACGACACCAATAGCAAAGCAGACAGTGGTACTTTTAATTACTATGTTAATAACTGTGTATAGTTTATTAGACGGTTGGTGAAAAATACTCTCATAATACGTTTCAAACCGCAATAAAGGTCTTAAAAGAACAATGTATTTGAGTATTTTATTTTTTAAACTATGACTTGGAATTTTGGGTAATCCATATTTGTATCTTCTTAGAAGGTTCAGGATACGAACTGTCGCCATATACGGTACCTTTATCATTTGTTGTACTTCATATGGGGCCCACCCAGATAATGTTGCTTGTGTCGCTACGCCATTGATTGTAATACCACAAATGATCACTCGCTGAGCTTTCTATCTTCAACTGATTTCCAAACACATTTAATCTTCAATATTGGCTTCTGGACTCTGGACTAAATTGTCAATTTTATCTTTAGCCCAAAAAATGAACAGTAGGAGCATTTTCCATGTCCCACATACAGCACTTAAAGGCTTTGCTACACATTCTCCTTACATCTGCATGTTGCTAGGACAATTTTTAACAATACTTTTTTCCTTTCACTAAACTTTCCAGTGATATGCTGCCAATGACTGTGAGCTAGGCAGGTATCCATGCTTTAGTCATGAAAAAATATTTTATTACACATTTTTAAATTGCATTATCTTAAAGTTCTTTGCATTGCTTGCATGTCAGAAATACTATAAGATTTAATATTCTTTTTTTTTAATTCATGGTATATGAGCTTCTGTTATTGAAGAACAGAACAGTAATAATTTCAGAGGATATTCTAATCTATTTGGATGCGCCTTTTTTGGCAGAAACATCTTACAGAAGAGAGCCTCACCTCCAATATCCGGTCTCAGCTTCTTATCATACTCCTTTAGTAAATTGTTGAGTATTTCCGTGGCGTCCGTTTCTTGGGATTTAGGAGCAAGCATTTGCTTCACAGTCACATCTTCGTAGTCTTCCTCATACTGCATCGTCAAGGAGCAAGAAAGGCTGAAAAGAGACAAACACATCACCAAGCTGCGCGATGGGCATTTCTATGATGTCATTTTAGAGGAACTTAGATCTAAAGTTTGAAAGAAGATTCCAGCAAATATGATGAAGGGATTTTTCTTTTCTAGTTGGGATAAAAGTTTAAGGCGCGTCGCTTACCAGGTAAAAAGGAGCGACAGAAGTCCCAGATAAGCCATGAAACTCTGCGTCATGTTTCCCAGAGAACAACAAGTAGAGCTGTGTCAGAGGATCTGAGCGCGGTCACGGAGGCGCTGAGGAGGAGGAGGAGCAGGAGGAGCAGGAGGGGTGCTTCATAGTTTCTAATCCAGCTGATATGTCAGTCGGTGTGAATGAAAATAATCTGTATCTCTATTTGGTGGTCGGTTCCTAATGACCTATAGTTGGTAGTTTTTGTTTTTTTGGACCGTTAAGAACTGCAGTGTCCCTCCATCCATCCACAGCGGAGGCAGCTGCGCGCATTACGCAGGTGCGCACCCCAGGCTGCGTTATCTGCGAGCCGAAAATTCATCATCAGAAAAAAAAAAAAAACTCTGTAATTAAGTCTGCGTCACCCTGAGGTCGCAACACCTGAAGAAAAATACTTTTTGTTCAGAGGCGTAGCCAGAACATTTTAAAAAGGGTGGCCAGGCAATAACCAATGTTCACTGAGGGGATAGGTGCCAGAACCTTAGGGTCAATTTACATTGTTCCAGCAGGAAAATTAACCACCACAACTATATTTTCTAAATAATAAACTATACTTTCATACAGCCTTTACTAACAAATAGACTCATATATTTCAACATTCATGCTGTCTAAATTAAAGGTGTAGTGGACTGGTGTGAACATCTTATTCATTGTCATTACTAACATACTTTTATCAATAATCATTCTGCATAAAATTAGTATACTACATTTACTTATATCTACATTAAATTGATTATTATTATTATTAAAGTAGTTATTTATCTCTAATTTCACTGAACACTCAGAGGTGACTTGGATAGACCTAATTTTCTCTTCATGCCATAAGACAATATGTACTGTAGTTGTGAAAAGAGCATGAATTTTGTATTTTTCATCTTTAATGTTAGAATGTTCATGAGCATAATTAACCACAGGATTTTTGTTGTTTAAGTAAAGATATGAAGAATTAAGATGTTAAATAAGTTAGAAAATTCCCCTATCCATGTCCATGTCTGCAAAAAATTTGTTAATTGGATTTATGTGAAAGATCTACAAAAATTATATTATAACTGTGAAATGGAAGGAAAATCCCACATTGCTTAATTGTGATTTTTTTCTGACAAAAATATGTTTCCATCCAGTTCCCTTTTTTCTGCTAAACAAAGAATAGTACAACTAATTGTCAAAAAAGTTGTAGAGTCTAACTTTGTATACCTTTCGGGCCTAAAGCAGAACAAGTTTTTAGTCATTCACTTACAGAAAAATCACATCTCAGCTGAATCACTGCTGAGCTGTTGAAAAAACTCAGATTGGAGCCTAGACAAGAGTTCAACTGAATAAACTGATTACTCGCTTTCCTCTGCCTCTGACACCAGCTAATCAACTTTGAACCACATCTACACAAAAGCATCTAGAGTTAATCTTAAAAGGTCTCTGATCCCCCAACTCCATCTGCTACCCAAAACGCATGCAGTGGTCGCGCTATATCGGACTTCATTTGGCTGACCCTGTTTTGATGCAACTCCATCCCCATCTCCACCATCGTAGCTAAAGCTTCGTCAGAGTTTCATTCCTCCCAGACTCTTTTCTGTGTTCCTTGTCTCATTTCAACCTGTCCAGCTGAAGACCACCACGATCAGCTTAGTTCTGCCAGAGGTTTCTTCCCAATGGGGAGTTTTTCTCTCCACTGTTGCTTCATGCTTGCTCATCATGGACAGCTTCTCTCCACCTGTGTTATCCAAACTGGACTTTCAGGTCCCTGAGTGAAGCTCTAGTATCAGCTCATGCAGTCCACTGGATCTCCCCATAAAGCTCAGCA